AGTGGAATGCATTATACACACACACATATGCACACAGCAGCTCATATGAAGTGAGAGAAGAAATTCTGAAAGTGACCCTAATCCTTGACCTGGGTTTCTAGTGATGGTATTTATTATAATTGTTGGTGTCTAAAGAAAAAAAAAACATGATTATAAGATACGTCGTAATGGAGGGCTCCGGAAATTTTGGCCTGTCCTGGAGTTCTTTAACATGCACCTATAATCTAAGCACACGGGCATCAAGCGTTTTTGCCGCCATAAAAATGCGGCTGCTGCAGTTAATTATAGGTATGTTCACTTTGTGTTTTGCATGCTGCCGAAGTAGATCTCAGTGGCAGTGGCGCTTTTAATCATAGAGGGGTTCGGGAGGATCCTGACACATCTTGTACTCAGGAGGGGGGGGGGGGGGGGCGGATAACCCTTTGCAAGTGTACCCACTTGAGATTTTTCATTCGAGCTTTGCATTTGAACTGCTTGGCAGTTCAATATAATGCACTCTTCGGAAACAGTGAAACCAACTCCGTAATCTGGATTAAGCCTTTCTAAAAGGCAGAAATGAACTGCAAATGTTGAAGCCGTTAACAGTTTTAAAAGGTGCAAGATTTTGAAATGTTACGGGTTACTTTAGATGTTTATTATCTTCTCCATAAAGTGCGAAATATATAAGTAATCCCCAATCATATGACTTGATTCATTTATGTTGGCGGTTCTGTAGAGGTCGTTGACGATGAAGTGCAAGTTTGACTGCTGGGCTATCATTTTTATTTAAGAATATTCCCTTGAGATATGAACATGCTTTATGAACAAGTAATCATGGGAGGCCATTTCTGACAGGCTCAGAAAAGAGGTCGAGGCAAAGTAAACCTGCACCTGCATGGGTGTCGACAGGGCGGTACAGAAGGGACACTGCCCCCTTCAATTCCCGCCAGCATTCGCCCCACTCAAGCTACACCAGAACTCTGCCCTTTTCCCAGCCACGATGCAACGTGGATTTGCATCGCCCAAGACTAAGTCCTGATGACATCCACTTGTGCATGTCATAACAAAGAGTGATTGCATTATTATGTGATGGTTCAACCCATATTGCATTAGTGGGAAGTACACTAGAGCTCACCTATGAGTTACACTTAGCACTGATTCCACCAACAGTATTGGCTGCTTGCTACATTTAGGTTAGGCACTTGAACTCGTGCTGAGGCCCATGCTCGATTCTTGCATTTTATTTCCAAACATAAATTTTAATTTTTAATATGATTAAAGATAAAGCCCATGTTTGGAAAAACGAAGATAGCCACCATGGGAGGATGTGTGCCCCCACTTGAAAGTTTCCTAAACTTATGCCACTAATCGGAGCCCACATGAAAAGAAAAGTGTGGTTGAGATCTGCCCTGTCAGATGGCAGGACGATCTCAGGTGCACACAATCTTTCAATGAACTCCATCAATTAGTCCTCACTTGAATCAGAACCATTGTTTTTATATTAAAAAAAAACTAATGAATACTGGGAAAGCAGGAAGTAAGTGGTGGACCCGATATACTAGGAAGAGAAATTGAAGCGTCACACAGTGCTCGTGCTTTACTAAAAAAGGTAGCCAGATTGCTGCACTCTAATAGATAAGTACCTGATTTTAATAAACAAGGTATAGGGACTACTGGTTGCCAGTGCATTTTGATGAATATGCTAATAAACATCAACACCGTTCGCATAATAAGACTCGTAGAAGGAATCCACTTCTCAACTGAACTGCTATTTAAGTAGATGTAAGTGTGAAGTTTTTCGCAGGCTGAGGAAACTAAAAGGCATTTTGAGTATCGCCATGTGGTAGCCCCTCTACCATTTGGACACAAACTAAAATGATGCTCTTTAAAGCTGCTCCTAGACACTGCCTCAACCTGACTCATCAAAGGCCATGACAGGTTAACCAAATGAACATCCCTACTAGTGTAAAAACAAGCAAGCATTAACAGAAAAGACGTTATCATTGCAGCAGGTAACATAGTGCTGAACTGAAATCTTGAATGAAGAATCCACCCACTTTTCTTTCTTCATATTTACATTACAATTCGGTATAATACCTTCCCCTATACTTTCCTTGGCATTATTGTCTGTTAGTCCTCATTATTATTGTGTCAAACAAGAAAACATGAGCCCTTAAGTATACACTTCTTTCCCTATTAATTAACAAGGGTCTCGTACTGGCAGACTTAGTGCCTTCAGGTTGTATACGATAGACTATTTGTTAGCTGCCAGCTCGTAAGAAGTTCACATGCTACGTGACGCCAAACAGGCTCATGAAGAGTGTGCCACACTCGCCGCCATCGCTACTGGTGGCGCTGACTGACACTCCCACGTTTGAATTCACATATATGCCCAATAAAGTGGCTGGAAGGATAGCTGCTGTGGTAGCTCAGTGGTAGAGCATCGAACACATTATTCGAAGGTCGCAGGTTTGATTCCTGCCCACCGCAAGTTATCTTTTCACACACTTTTCTTTTTTCACATTTACAAGACGATTCAGTCTAATAACTTCCCCTATACTTTCCTTGGCATTATTGTCTGTTAGCTCTCATTAATATTGTGTCAAACATGGAAACACGACCACTTAAGTATACACTTCTTTCCCTATATATATATATATATATATATATATATATATATATATATATATATATATATATATATATATATATATATATATATATATATATATATATATATAAGGGAAACAAGTGTATACTTAAGGGCTCATTTTTCGTGTTTACACAATATTGATGAGATCTAAGAGACAATAATGCCAAGGAAAGTAAAGGGGAAGTTATCAGGCCAATTGTAATGTAAATGAGAAGAAAGAAATGTGGGTGAAAAAGATAACTTGCCGTGGGAAGGATATATATATATATATATATATATATATATATATATATATATATATATATATATATATATATATATATATATATATATATATATATATATATATATATAGGGATATGGTCGGGAATGTCATACTGCAATTTACTTGATTAGAACAGCCAAGCTAGGTAACTGGAGCAGTAAAAGACATTTTTATTACAGGTATGCTGTGCATGGGGGTGCAAGTGGAGTTGTATTTCGTGTAGATTGCATGGTTTTTTGAATAACAACGCTCAGAGTTTTTGAAGCCAAGTTTTGTTTTGTTTTTTGTTTCATCATCAATTGTTCGGTGTTCATTTTTGTGAAGTCATACAAGATATACGTGACGGGATGACACCATCGTTTCTGCACCGATGACCGATAGCTTTACAAGTAAACTTCTGCATTTCGTGTGTTCAAATAAAGAGCGTTTTGTCAGCTCCAACCAGAACACCAGTCTCCGACGTGCATTATGATACTGTGGACAGGAGTTAGAGTTATCCCCATATTGAAATTGTTTTATGACCTTGGACAAGTGACAATGTAATGCGAGTGAGTAATAGTCTTCAAGTGAATAAGCAGTCTTGTAGGAACAAGAGGAATTTTCCTATGAAAACAAGTTCTGTTCGGGGAGCTCGCACAAGATTACCAGTTCACCCTACACTGACCTAGTCCCTGTTTGACCATTGTTCATGAAGTAACATTCTATTGTTGAAATGCTGGCTGCAGTCCCCAAACTCTCCCAAATAAATTTGTAAAAAATATCTCTTTGTGAAATCCATTATGCTGGACTGTCTAAAATGCATAAAATTTATCTATTTTATGCCAAGGCTCGAAGTGAAACCTAAAGCGAGTGGGAAAGGCGAGAATGTATTGCAGTATAATTTATAGCAACTAGCTGTACCTATAATGTATGTAAATATCTAATTATTGTAGTCAGTCACGCTATATTTCTTCGGAAGCCGAATTCACAGATGCACTCAAAATGTATGTGATAGTTATCTACTGGAAGCCAGCATCCCAAGAAGGCTAAAAGATATTTTTAAGGTTCTGCAAAAATGCTCGATAGTTAACATCGTGCTAAAAACACTGTTCTGCCTTCACGGAATTCACTGTACATAAAAAAAATACTTCATTAAGAACACATATAAGAAACCTTTAGTAGCCAATTGAAATGTTATTATCAACTCTGTCTTTGCATTGTATTTCTTGCCAATAGTGCGCAGAAATGGCAAAAGTAAATGGCACCTTCAAATGAGGATGCCATGTTCTAAAGGCCTATATATTTAGAATCGTCAATCTTGATGAATAGTCAAGCGCTGCCAGAAAGCGTTTTGCATTATTGAATGAATAATGTAATCAAGTACCTTTGTTGCAGTAGAGATGTTTATGTAACCCTCATCGTTTCGTTGTCTCCAGCGGCATGCAAGGCAACTGCCGCTTTTTCTCTCGTGCCACACGGGGAAAAGCCAATAAAGAGGTGATAATACTGTTCTTACCAACCACATCACTTCTGAACTGTTAACATTCCGATACCTTTCAAATTGGCTTTCTCATGCTTAACAGCGTCCCATAGGTATGCGGTACTTGGCAAAAATCTTGCCCTGTAACTCACTCTATTGTCCTTTCACATCAACACCTTTGAGTTGGCAATTGAAACACTGAAATCACTATGTGGAGCTGCAACATTACTGGCCTGTGATGAATGTTCAGAGTCATTATAGGCCAATAGCTGTCGTTGCATTTCATCACCAATTGCTGGCCAAGATTTATAAATTTAACAAAATGCCACACATTCCGAAGATGACTAAGTGCACGCAAAATAGGGGACAATGCTCAGTTATGTACCCGACTTATTTCCTTAACAAATCTGACACGATGCAGACCACTTAGTGGGCAGAGTACACAAGAGCCAACCTTCAGAGTAGATGCTGCACACTACACTTATGGCACTTACAACAACAAATAAGATGTCAAATACCCTATAACCCCAACCATCCTTAATTTTGCTAATAGCCATGTACAGCAAGAATTTGATGACCTGACAGGTGATTTACCACCGATTTGGTCACGATTCACGTAACAGTCTAATAAGACAAGACAAGTCAAAGAACTTGGCCTCACATGTAGTTTATCTCAACACAACTTTTACAAAGACAACCGGACTTGCAAGTAACACATAGCCTAACAGATATTATGCTTGGCATTACAATCACAGCAGCCTGTTTTTGTTACAGCACGAACGTTTCAGAGGTGGTAGTCATGCCATTGAAAATGAACGTGTTGTTCAACGGCACGTACTGGCCTGTGACCAATTTGATGATCTCCTGAGCTGCACAGCCGCCAACAAATGCCGCCACCGTGTGGATCTCCGCTGCTCCGTAACGACACATTTCGTGAACATAATCATCCTTGGCGACCGGCCCAGAGCCCAACTGTTCGAGCACCTGGCACAGCGACGCCTTCAGCTTGCTGATGTCAGTCTCGAGCTGGTCTTCGAAGAAGCCCGGGTAGCGGTTGTACTGGCTGTAGAAACGGTCGGCAGCTCTGAGCATCAAGTAGAAGATTATCTCGCTGTCCGGGGAGTCTAAGCTCGTCAGGATGGTGTCGACGGACGCATCCTTAGCATCGTACTCCGCAGCTAGGGGGCGACCACGTACCAGACGCAGTGCGTGGGCGTTCTTGCAGAAGACTTTCACCTCTGCTTCGCTGATGAAGCCTTCGGGCTTTCCTATCGTAGCCAGAAGCTGCTGGACCCTGTGGTGAACAGCCCTGAAGTCCTTGTCCGCTTCGGCGTGGTATATGTTGAGAAGCTTAACGTATCTGTCTGTGTCGGATGTCATGTCAGGGAGCGTTCCTCTGACTGGCAAGGCGCCTTTACCTTCAGCCTCAACGAAGTCCTTCAGGGCACGTATTAATATCCAGAATGGCTTGCTTTCGGCGGTGATGTTAAGGCAAGCTTCCTCTTCGAATAGTCTTTTAACCTGATGGGGTACCTCAGTAGGGTTGAGGGACTTGTTGACAGCCTTGATGGCCTCCTTCGAAGTTTTCCTCGTCCTCGCTGCCTTGGTCTCCCTTGGGCCTTATCCACCCCTTGATCAAAGCCTTGAAGGCTTGTTTTTCTTGGCTGCTTTTAGGGAGCGCCTGCATGCTGTTCTGCCGTTGCCACTCGTCCAAGGCTTTCAGAAGGATGACCACATAGGGTGTGTGGCTGTGCTCCTTATCTTTCAGTTCTGCCATGTTGATCGAGTCGACGAAAGCGCGCAGCGCGGGGAACGGCCTGTCAAGCCGGAGGTCGTCGAAGTCGTTGTCGGGGTGCGTCTCCACGACCGGGTGTTCGTTCATCTGAAGTCGCATGTAGCCGATGAAGCCATAAGAACGACACACCAGGAGGGGCACGTTGGCATCCCAGAGCCTCGCGGCCAGCGCCAGCAGGGTCTTCTCTTGCAAGCCGGTCGCGATGACGGCCGAGAAGTTGGAGAAGTAGGCGGGGTTGTGCTCCAGCAAATTCTCGGCCGTCTCCTCGACGAAGTCGCCCTGGACGTCAGGGTTCAGTTCGACGAGAAGTCGCGCGGCCGCCTCCGCTCGCGGCTTCCCGATACTGTCGCTGTCGAGGAAGAAGTTATTACCGACGTCTTCGGCCGTCACTGAGTGGCCGTCGACGATGGTGAAGGCGCCGACGCCCGGGAGTACGATGCTCTTCAGGGCTTCGGTGCCGGTCGCCGTGGCAGTTGATGAGGCATACGTGAGACGACTCGAGGGCCACTGTCCGTGGTCGCCCCACAGCCTGAGCTGCCGGTCGTACTTCTTGCTCTTTTCGGAGTCGGCGGACCTCGGCCTCATGATGCGGCTGCACGCGACGGAGAACGGAACACACGCCACAGGCTGCACACAAAACACCTGGCTGCAGCGATCGAACGTAAACACGACGATTCGACGAAGGTTAGTCTGAAAACGCTCCGTACATGTCTCGTATGTGAACACCAAATTTAAGATACGATTTACAATTTACGCGTCATACTGCGGTCTGTGCGGAGTTAATATAAACGAACATGTGTTGTAAAAGTAAACAAATGTAACATAAAATTAGTGCAATTTTTTAACAACAGGTTACGCACAAACCTGCAAATTAAAATTATAAATTTCATTTTTCGGTAAATTTTATGCGAGAGTTGCGTTGTTTTTGTTTGTTTTTTACGAAGCATTTTGTCGTCGTTGCCAGACAAAATGGAGCTTGAGCTGCTGCATTATTTTCTCGCCTCGAGAAACAAAACAATCGGTTGAAAGTTCTGGAAGCTTGTCAAAGACGTGCAACGCACTGATTAGCAGTGCATCGGCGTTCCTGGTGTATTGCGTACTCGTGGTCATTGCAAATTCCACGTTATCTTGCGTGCGCGTCAGAAAACACCTAGCACGTTTTCTTCACTGGAGATGTTGAGGCGAAAGAGGCCGCGCACATCGACCGCCAGCCTGCGGCCATCAGTTTCTTCCTCATCCCTTTTCAAAATGCAAATTTTTCTTAAAAAAAAAAAAAAAAAACACCGGGTGCGTAGGAGCCATATATCGAGGAACAAGCAAGCATGTGTCCCTACTCCAATGTGTATTGTAGTTCCGCCACTACCAAAACGCACAAGAATGAAAACGACGTTGGGACTCGGCAAAGCATACCAGGAGTTTATTCAAAATTTTGATGGCAAAGGGGGGGGGGGGGGGCATCAGTGCCTATCAGTAAGGCAGAAGGGGTTGTGGATTCGTTTGGAATAACTTTTTGAGCGTGTGGGGGAAGGGTACAAATCCTCGAAGCGTGCGTGGCGTACGTACGCCGCTGTTTTTTCGCAGACCTAGCGAAAGCAACACGCATGCACTTCTTCTGAAGAATGAGGGTATTGACCTTTATTAACGGAGTGCGCTGACCGAATTGAATTAAGCTTCTGGCCTATGAAACAAAAGTATGAAAACTTGTGGCAAACCCACTCACTTTCTCAATTTCAATACAGATTTGCTCATCGTGACCGCAGCTCCTATGTAAAAACGGCCACAATATGGGCCGAACATTTACGGAGGACAACAGTGCAGGCAGCCGCCATTGAGTTGCCTCGAATATCCAACATTCACAAATGAAAGCAACTTTTGCCAGGCTGAAATAGAGACAGCCATATGTCAACCATGAGCACGTCAGATACTTTCCCGTCAGAACATCTGTATACCCCCTGCATTTTAGTAGCATTCAGCTTAATTGTTATTGGCCAGATATTTATTAACATAAGTTGTTACTTTGACTGGATGTGTGCATTTATTTAAGCTTGCCACAATGTGTTCACACTGCCAGATGTCAGTAGAACCATACACAAGTAGACCAGTTCTGCAAATATACTGAAATGCTATGCGAGGATAAGTGCAACTATTTCTCATATGAATGAAGGAAAGGAATTTTGAGAGGTTATTTCTTTTTTCACAACGTAGCCGAGAGATTAGGCCTATGTGTCCCGACATGGGAGCGGCCGCTGCGTGCTAGTTGATGCTCGGACGAACCTAAATAAGTCTTTCCGTACCATACCAGATGATGAAGCCAAAAAACGTATAGGGGACGTTAATTATGCTGTTTTAGGTGTATTGTAGTCAGTGTTACGTAAATGTACGTGAAAAATGTAAAGCGCATGAAGAAAATTGCCACGGGCATGAATCGAACCAGCAACTTTCGAATCGGAAGGTTGCGTGTTTGGCCCTTCTGTGAAGCAATTAGTTTGTCTTTTCGTTTACTTGACCTTCTTGAGATATATATCCCAATTATACATCAATACACCTAAACATTACAATAGATGCTCCCACTACGTTCTTAGTCATCATTATCTGCTAGTTTTCGTTACGGTTACCTCATGTATATGATGTCACGCAAGCATGTAAAGCATTGCCTTCTATGGAGTACTAGTCTATAAGTTTACATGTGTGAACACCTGAAAGCAACTCCAGCGCAGCATAATTGACAGGGCGTTGCATGACCACAGATGACCCCAAGAACAGATGATACAGGTTTTTATTGTACAGTGACTAGCATTATAAACAAGTCACAAACATCCCCGAACATTACCAAGGGTGCAGTGCTAGATGATGATCGACAAATGGATGACTGGTTTCACCTTTTCGAGCTCCTTGCAGCAACCACATTGATTGCAATGAGAAATTGTTGAAAAGTTCAGTGAATATGTCACTGGTGAGGCATTAAACTTACCCCAGATACTCAAAAATGATGAATTTCGGTGAGAAATTATTAAAGAATATGTGGACCACCCCACTGATAAAATACAGCAGAGACCCTTTCACTAGATGCACTATCATGGAGGTATTGTATATGGGTCTCTAAAACCAAAGCCAAAGAATTTAGTTACTGTAATCGGCCCTTAGCATGAAGCTATGCTGATTTCTGTTGGTGTCGGTATATAGCAAATACCGCTCACAAAAACAAGGCTGGCTTAGCTGCGCAATTTTCGAAACACAGAGTGAAAACGATCATGCAGCAAGCACTATTACCAGCGCTATTCAACTCAAATTATTGTTTGCAAGGTGTTACTATCACACACTAGATACCATTTCAAAGCTTTTCATACATGCCAAGATGGCCATACTGTCCTCAAAGCAAATGCCGCATTTCACATGCACAGCCAACCACATTTGATGCAGCCCTATAATGAATTTTTCCACGGCCCATGCTAGACTGCAAGACTGAAGCTCCATCGACAACAGACACCTGAATGTATTTACAGACAGGCCTATCACAGGGAGCCCAAGGCGAAGCCGCATCCACTGCTATATTGTCCGGTGATCGACCATCTGTAATTATGTGCGTGAGTTTGGTACTGCCGACTACAATAAAACAGAAAGCACTTCTGTTGCTTCTTGCTATGAAGCAAAGGAGACCATCTTTTGATATAGACACGCAGTGAAATCAACAGAGGCACACGTTCAGTTAAGGATGAAAATCATTCACTTTAATTGGAACGAAGGAGTGTTCACATGTACATTTCAAACTGCTTCACACCACCCCAGCTTCCTTCAGAGCAGCAGTCCTTGACAACAGTCTGCCACTAAAGCATCATCCATTAACAATAAACATTGTTTATTCAATCAATTATCAGATCAACCAACGGGAACAGAAAGCATAGGGACAACCATCAACACATTCACAGCAGGTACTGCATTCGCACCATTTCACGACGCTCGTGGAACTCCTGTAGCCCTTCAGATTAATGAAGTTTCAGGGATTCCTGCTTTTAGACAAGCAGCTGAGAATGCTAGTGGCTGGCACGGTGTTGTTTCAAGTGCCGCACAAGCAGGTGCTGCCTGCCAAACCTTGAGGAACACAGGTGGCACGCAAAACACAGTCGATGATCCGCGTGATAAGCAGCGCGCCTCAGCAGGTGATTTGCTCCGAAAGGTTCGCCACAGACAGGACACATGATTAAGTCGTCATCCAACCCTGCACCAACACCCTCGGCTTGCATGGACCTGGTACCGCACGGGAGCTCTTCCTGCTAGGACCAAAGCACAGTGTTAAGATATCTCACACCTCATTATATTGAAGTTGCACGTTACACAAAGTAATATTTGTTATATCCAAAAGTTATTATTAAGGTATATTTCTTACACTGTATCTACCATCTTCGCAAACACCATTTCTACTTACCAGTTCTGGTGTTGCTAAGATCGATGTTTCTGTTGGCATCGCTACATAACTATAAACAACTGGTTACATAAAACATATGTGGCTGCTTAACGTATGTCTGTGCGTGCCTTTGTACATACCCTTAGTTTCGCTTCGTAAAGTTTTGCTCAATAAAAAATTCAACACAGTCAATCTTCCATCCGCATGCTTCGTATAACATCGATTCCCAAGGTACGTGGAATCTGCCAATTTCTTTCTTAATTTACTTCGTTATAATAAATATTTCCTTATATTCTGGTTTGTTACATTGAGGTTGGGTTGTATAAATACTTCATCCATTCTGTAAATAGGTGAAGATTGGTGGGGTATTTCGAGAAGCATTGGTTGGCGGGCTGGTTCATGAAAGACGCTGTAGTGGCAGGCTCCAGAAATTTTGACAACCTGGGACACTTTAATGTGCATCTGAATCTAAGCACGTGGGCCTCTAGTGTTTAGGCTCCATCAAATTGGAGCCCCTATAGCTGGGTTCGATTCTGCGACCTTTGGGTCAGCAGTCAAGCACCACAGCCGCTACACCATCACAGTGAGTTCTAAAAATAGGCGTTACGAGGACTTGTTACTCCACTTATCCCGTGTTCAGAAACGTTCTTTTACTGGACCTCGACCTGAAACCGACTTCAATGCAGCGCGTTTGAAACGTGTCTGTGCATTTTTGCTTTCTTGGTACCGCCTAAAGACAGCGCGTTCGAAATGCATTCAGTTTCAGTCAAGCAGTGTTTGTGAATACGGGGTAATGTTCTTGCGTCTTTTCAAGAGGGCATCATCACAGCATAGCTAGCACATAGTCGATGGACTATGAACTGAAGGGCACTACAATTGCACTGCTTACCACTTCACCCCTCCAACCCTAGCGCATGCTACTTCAAAGATTTCTGTACTGTTTAAATGCGTTGGGCTGAAATATAGAAAAAAAACAAAAAATCTCGGTTTTTATAAATGACTACAAGAATTACTTGGAAGTGGCCCGCTTCGGGCTAGGAAACCAGTGCCCCTTGAAAAATGTGAACGAAGTTTTCCATGCTGTACCATACCATACCCTAGGAGAAGTATGCACAATAGTGTCCTCATGCAAAGTGGAATGACGGTACATGTAACGAAAGCTGTTGCAGTCGATGCATAGCGAAGCACCATCCAGACTTACATCACAGCTTTGTGAATGTGACCTGCAGGTTGTTATGTTGGCCACTTCAATATATATTTTAAATTTTTAGAAGAATGAAATTATTTTGATCTTTTGATGTGATTGCGGTCTTTTTGATAAACCGGAGACCAGCACACGTCATGGTGCCACATCAATCGCAGCTTCGTTGACATTGTACTAGCTCCCGCAT